GAAAGCTGGTTTCATTGATTAATAAAGCAGTGAACCGGCTGCAGCAAGACAGGCATCCTTATAAACTCTGAATTAGCTGAAATGAACGTAGAGATAAAATACATTTATGGGGCGAGTTTAAGTAATCACGAGGATATGAAACTTGGGACTCAGTCCAGGGAGCATGAATGACAAATCAAATTAAAGTACAGATTTTTACCAGTCATTTGCAAAGCTCATGTTTCAAAGTTTAGCCGTGAAGTTGCAAAACTGCATATCTCATGACTTATGAGGTCATTTTTTTTTCCTCCTCAGTGATGCACAGGATGAAATGGAATGGTTGCTCTGACAACAGAAATCATAGATGCACACTGATCAACATTATGGACATCCGGTCTCGCAATGTTGTGGTAACTATGGTTACCTCAAAGAGAGCCAAATGTTCTGCTCCAAAGTGTGAGGGTATCATCTGTGACACTGTGCAGAGGCACAATGTTCCAAATGCAAGTGACTTTCAGAACTGGATAAAAACAAGCTACTGGTACAGGAATGCCTGGAGGACTGATATTATTTTCCACAATTTAACCACTTTCAGGGACAGCAGTTACGGCAGTGGACAGCTTATCATCTTATCAGGTTACAGGGTCCATGAAAGGGTTAAAACTGTTCCCAGGAGTGTTATCATGAAAAATTGCGCGAAGATGAGGAATTATTGCACACTTAATTTCCTCTTTCATGAGCCTCATTGAGCCTGTTTTGAGGGGACAGTTATGTGCCATGCAAATTGGGCCACTGCCCCCCCACCCTCTCAAAGGGAGGTCAGGGTCAGTGCTGACTGAATACAGCTGTCATTGCCAAGACAACCAGGATCAGGGCTACTTGTTGAGCCCAGACTCTAAACAAGTCACCTGAAAAGTGCATGGGATCTTCCATAAAGACAGTAAATCCACGGACAGTGGAGCCGAGGCCAACTATGGCTTTCGTTGCCATGACGACCAGGGTCGGAGCCAAGTGGTTGCAATAAGGTGAGCGGGTACTACTTGCAGAAGCAAAGCGGGAGACCAGAATGTACAGAAAAGCAATCCCTTCTGAAGACAGGAAAAGCATGGGTTGTATTTTCATTCCTGGAGGCAGCACTTCTTCACCAAGCCACCAAACTACACTTGTCAATTAGTGGCACTGATTCACAGTGCTACAGTGGACATAAACAAAGATGAAGAGTACGTCTCCTACGACTACTGAAAGTGACTCAGTAAGATGCTGTCATATTCGCCAGTTTTCAGGGAGGATTAAGAATATGTATCTGTGAGTATTGTTATATGATCTATCTTTTTGGTTCCCCCGAAATTCCTCAAAACTCATCAATTTTTGAAATAACAATTGTATCCTAGTGAAAAAAAAGGGCCTCCCTGAAAGTTACCTAAAAAAATTTGCCCTTGTCACAGATTCAATGATTGACACACTATTATGTAGATATGTCTTTCATGCTGTTTTACCGGTGAGGCAGTGGTTAGCGTGTCTACCTCACAGTGCAGAGGTACCGGGTTCGATTCCAGCTCCGGCTTCCTTGTGTAGAGTTTGCATGTTCTCCCCAGGGCTGCGTGGGTTTTCTCCGGGTACTCCGGTTTCCTCCCACATTCCAAAAACATGCATGGCAGGCGAATTGAACACTCGAAATTGTCCCAAGTGCGGATTGTGAGCGTGGATGGTTGTTCGTCTCTGTGTGCCCTGCGATTTGCTGGCAACCGTTTCAGGGTGTCCCCCGCCTACTGCCCGAAGACGGCTGGGATAGGCTACAGCACCCCCCGCGACCCTTGTGATAATTGAAATGCTGGTTGAAAGGTAGGGAATCCAAATTGGGTTTCAGGTTCAGGCACAAGTCTCAAGGACCAATGCAATAAAATTTAACAGGAATTCGGCCATACTGACTCGAAGCAGTCATTTGTGCTGAATTACTGAGCTTGTACTTTGAAACACTCCGACTGAGAAATTCACCGAATTGAGCCCCAATCGAATTCGGGTACATAGACAGATGGGCAACGTTAATTTGTAAAGCATTTTTGCCGACGCCATCTAATGTGAGCCGAGCTTGTTCTCAAAGATTGATGATCATTTCCAGGATCGGCAATGAAAAACCGGGCGCGAAGGCCCATTCATCGCTGCTTGCACTTTTTCTTTTTTTGCGTGTGGTGGAAATTGCTGTGGCGTACAACTGCAGGGCATCATCATCAGAGCTGATTCTAATATTTAATAATTTCCTGTTGCTAAATAAGTTAACCACAATGCACATGAAATCACCTCTAAGAATGACGCAGTGCAATGACTCACTTTTCTTGTGTTTCTGACAAAGTATAATTTGTCTTTATTAAACTGTTTCTCACTAGAATGTTGCACTTGTAACCGATGCTGGGCTGCTTCATGGATGCGTCCATTAAAGTAAACTTCATCATTCAGGCGGAAGTTTCCTTTAAGATTGGTTTCATATTTCTCCCCAAATAAATAAATAAATACGAGAACTCTGCGGCTAGGGAAAAAAAAAAAACTGTCAAGGTCTTTTGCTGATGCTTGTGAGAATGAAACTTTGAGCTATTTCGTGGTTTCCATCGCTGACCTGCCCGTATGCTTTCGGTCGCCATGACAACTAAATTGAACTATATGATGACTCATTTTATACATTTGTGAGTATAGAAATGTAGAGAAAGATACTTCAGAGTTCCCTAATGATGCACGTTAATGATCACCTGATACAAGGTTTGACAATTTAAGAGGAGCACACGAACCAAGATGAATTCCTACAAATAGACTGAATTATTATTTTCAATTAGTGAACGGATGGTTTTGCTCTTGCAAAACTAGTGTCAAACAATAGCCAAATCTCTTGCTGTTGCTATGGTGACATAAATCACACGAGAGCGGTTGTGCCCCGCTCGTCCAAGTGCAGTTACCGGAATACAATCACTGAATGAAAGGAAGTAGTCAATTGCTGGAACTTGTTTTGCACAATCCAAAACAAATCCATCATAATTAGCTCCTCCATAAGCACTGCAAGGTGGAGAGAGCTGCTCACGTGTTATACATTTGTCTGTCTAAGATGCTGGCCTTAAAATGTAGCTCACTGAAGCTATTTATCCCAAACAACACACAATTCAGCAGTCCTGATTTTTGCGTGTGTGTGTGTGTGTGTGTGTGTGTGTGTGTGTGTGTGTGCGTGTGTGTGTGTGTGTGTGTGTGTGTGTGTGTGTGCTAAAGTGTTTTAGTTTTCATTTGTTGGTGTGCTTTCTTCCTAATATACTTCTAAAGAAGATAGATTTGACAGCTGACACCGTGATTGACTCCTACCTGCCACATGAAGGATTTTAAACTGAACCTTCTATAAAATCAAGGCTGGCATGAGGGAATCCATCGTGAACTTGTTATATAGATGAGCAAGTGTGGTCCTAGAGAGCCATAAATGCACCAGCAGCCAGAAAATGGAGAGTAGGTGGATTTGCAGATGGGTGGGGAGCAGGTTAAAGCTGCTCCACTTCTCTTCCTATGCTGTTTTACCTGTATTACATACGGCCCTTTTAGCAACATTACTCATAGTAGGACATATCCAGGTACACTTGTGTTACATAAACCACGGTTTAAGTGTCTGCCTACCACCTAAAAATCCCTACGGATCTTTATTATTCATTCGTTTTCAACAGCGCTTATCGTCGTTAGGGTCACGACTGAGCTGGCGCCGATCCAGCCTGAGTTTTAAGCAGGAGCAGCAAGGCGTACACCCATGATTGATAGCCGGCAACTGATCACAAAACACAAAAACATTTTTTACATCACCAATCATGAACACGTCCACAAATTGACAGTTTTCAGTGATCTTAACGTGCACACTGAAAAAGGTATTTAATTATCAGTTGTACAAAAAAAAACACGCTAAACTGACACTTTTCCTCAAGAATAATCAAATAATATTAATGTTTTAGGTGAACACTTTGATCATGTGTACCCAATGGACATGTTTATAATAAGTAAATTCAAAGGGCTTGTTTTTCAGTGCACGTGTTTGCGAAGTGGTAGAAAGAGAAAAGCCACATAAGAATCGGCAGAACATGCAAAATCGAGATTCTAACCCAGAACCGCTACAAAAGCGAGTGAAATGATGTGCTACAGTTCAAATTTGATGATGGATATTAATCGGCAAGGGTAAATTAAATGAAATACAGTTTCCGAATATCGGAGGAAGTCCGAGTTAAAACCCCACACAGGAGGGCCTGGCCTCAGATTCCAACCCAGAACCTCTCAATGTCATGATTCTGCTTTTGTTTAGATTACATTTGGTTTTGTTTTCTCATGTGCGTTTTTTGCCTTCCTCCATAGGTTTTGTTTCCACTTGTTGTTGCCATCCTGGTCCCTTGTGTTAACCAAGCAGCTACCTCCAACCCTTTGTCTTATGCAAGTGTTCCTTATCTCATCACTTTGCTTGTATCTAGTTCCCTGGTTTCCGTCAGTCTGCGTTGTATTGTTGTTGCTGTTTTGGTTCTCTTACGTGGTGTGTTTTATTTCCTGGTGTTTTGTTGTTACTTTGAGTTTTGGTCTTTTCAGGACTTTTAAATTTAATTTTCCCAGAGTATCCCTGCTTGTGTTTTTTGTTTCAATACATTTTTTTCAGTACAACTTGCTTCTCCCACCTCCCCGCTTTTGGGTCTTCTTCCATGCCAAACCATGACATTGAACTGTGAGGCAGAGGCGCTCACCACTTCACCATGTTTCAAATCCGAAGCTCAATTTGATTTAAATTACCCTGGGCAATGAACATTTTCACACTGAATGTGGTGCTCTGCTTATAGCACTTATGACCACTCAATCGTAGGGCAGATATAGACAAACAACCAGTCAAATCCACACCTTTGAATAATTTAGTGTCTTCCAAGAACCTAACATGGATGTTTTGAGATGTGGGAGGAAGCCAAACCGAGAAAACCCACGCAAGCACGGGGAATACAGTTTCAGAATGGGGGAGGAAGCCGGACTTACAACGCCACAAAGGAGGACCTGAGCCGAGATCGAACACAGAATCTCTTGCTTGTGATGCAGACGTGTTGACCACTGCCGCACTGTGCTGCTAATCTGAAACTCGACTCCGTCGTAAACCAAGGACCGCTCGTAACTTGTTTTCATTCATGACGATGAAGCGAGGACGAATGTTGCGCCTCTGACGCACGAGGCGGTCGTGCGTCCTGCGCGCGCTCACCACCCCCTCCTCCATCCCTCACAGCGGCTCTGCTCCACGTGCGCGCTCCCGCGAGCAAGCTGACCTGTTGGAAATGTTGCGAGGAGCCTGCTAAATCCGAGCGCTCCCCACGACGTCGAGTGGAAAAAAGTGGACTCGTGCCGGGAAATAAGGAAAACGAGAGAGGATTGAATACTTCTTACGTAACCGATTCACTTCTTTGAAGGTAAGTGGGCATCTTTTCTACACATCGACTCTTCCCTGCCATATGAGAGATTTTCAAACATTGACATTTAAAGATCTGCATCTTCTTGTGTAATGCCGGGAATATCGTTTTCATTTTGTACAAAAGTACAAATAGGGCTCATTTACTGACTTACTTTGCCCATCGGGCTTCATTTCTCGCCCGAGACTTTGCCCCAAACTCCACACGGAGGCAAGCTGCTTCTCGGCTTAACGTGTTCACAGTATCGCAGTGTCCGTGCCTCCGCGATATTGTCATAACTAGTCATAGTTTCGCACCCGAAAAGTCATCGTGCACCCCGCGAAGCTGCACAATGAGGGATGAAGAGAGAGAGATAGAGAGAGAGAGAGAGAGAGAGAGAGAGAGAGAGAGAGAGAGAGAGTGTGTGTAAACCATTGCAGGTTGAAGGGAGCTGGGCAGGATTTTGGCATGACTGCATTGAGCATCAATAAAAAAAATAAAATAAAAAAAAATGCATTTACATTATGAAATAAATAGGTATATCTTACATCATGATCAGCACGATTAGTGGTTAATATGGATGGAACAATATCCAAATGTCATGACACGATATCACCATATGAACCTCATAATACGATAATTATGACAATATGATGGGGAGGGTGGCAGTATAAAATAGCTTACAATACTGTATAAAAATGTACAATATTGTAAAAGAAGAGCTTGTATATTGAAAAAAAAGCACAATGTTGTATTTTTTTGCATAACAGCAGTGACAAAGAAATAGGCTGAGTCAGTCGTTATTGTTCCTAGCTGGAGCTCATAAGAGGGAGCACATCGCCCCAATTTGGGCTTCCCTTCACATGCTCCCAATATATTTTAGAGTTCATGTTAAGATTCTTCTTCTATTCATTTTCAAAGCTTTAAATGGCCTTGCCTCACTTTATCTCTCTGAGGTCTTCCACCTGGAGGCACCTCCCCAGGTGCCAAAGACGAAGCGAATGTTCAGAGAGGCTTGAGCCTTTTCCGTTGCCGGTCTTCGTTTCTGACTTTCAGTTAAATGTTAGGCAAGCCTCCTCTCTGCCTATTTTGAAAACTCGTTTGAAGGCACATCTTTATTCTTTGTCTTTCGACTCAACATGAGACCAACACTGTTCTATTGTTTTCTGGTTTCTCCTCTATCTGTGTTAGTATCACTAATTTGTGTTTTAATTTACTATTTTCCCTTTCTTTTGTAGTTGTTTAGTTTATGTTCACCGTTTTGTTAAGTGCTTGTTACAACTGCAGCTGATGTGAAATGTGCTATGTCAATAAACTTTTGGGTTGGATTGAATTGTATTGTATTGCATGTCTTCCTGTTCACTCAGGGGCCCCAAACAATGCGCTGTTTGGCTGAAGCAGGCATAAATGAGTTTTTTTTTGAAGGAAATGTGGTGCTTTTATCATCGAAACATGACAATGATGATATTGTGGCAAATTTAATATCGCAATATCAACGTTCTCATTACATCTCTACTGGTTATCTTATCTGCCGCATGGTTCTGAGTTTCTGGGTTCCAATCTCAAATTTTCAAGTTCGTAGGTAGGTGCGTTCAAGACTCGAAATTGTCTTTAGGTGTGAATTTGACTGGTTGTCTATATGTCCTGTCATTGACTGGCAACCAATCCGGAGTGTACCCTACATCTTTCCCCAAAAGTTAGATCCGGATCACCCACGGCCCTGAGGATAAGCACTATGGCAAACAGAAGGAGTGTCATGTGATTGATTAGTGTGCCAGTCCAGGGTGGACTGCGCTTCTCTCACCAAAAGTTGAGTGGGAAAGTCTCCCATGACCCGCCAACAATTGTTAACAAGCATGATACTGTATAAAAATGACTGGATGGATTTTTTTTTTTCTGTGATTGATTGGTGACCAGTCAAAGGTGAAAACCACTTCTTTTGTCAAACATTGGCTGGAATAGGCTCTAACTCACCCATGGCCCAACCAGGGCTACAGGACAAATACTATAAAATGGATGAATGGGTGACTGAATGTGGCTCATTTGTGTTTACATTACTGCTTCTGCATTTGGCATCACCACAGGCAAAACAGACTTCCGCAGTACAATGTGTATGGACTGCTGGCCTCATCTCGCAAAATTCAGCATGGACATTCAACATCAGTCAATGAGTGTAAAGTTCCCAAGCCTCCTCATTGTTTTGCCGTTATGTAAAAGCTCACGTCGTAGAGCCGCAGTTTTCAGCCCCATCAAGCAGCAGCGATCGGCACGATGCTGGATTGACAGCAGCGCAGCCCCATACTGTAGCATGCGGTTACCATGGCAACTAAACAACATCAGAGAGATCAGATGAGCCTGTGACGACAGAAAGAGGACATGAATGGTCGTCAGAAGGGTCGATTCACTTCCTCATCCGCGTTTTCGTTGATGTGTAAAACCGATATCTCCTTTTCTTTCTCATACGCTCACAGAGGGTATGTTAGTTGTCACAATTGACGTTTAAATGATAAATGAAAGCTAAATGAAGCACATTCTTCACCTTCTGGCTCAAACGCGGGACCATCTGTCTCGTATCATCAAGCCTTTGAAGAGGCGCCACGCTGGCAAAATTCGCTTCTCTGGCGTGCTGCCATGCAACCATCAAACATGACCATACAATACAACATCATGATATGTTTTTAAAGTGCACACATAAGTGTAAATGTATTGGGGGATAAAATATACAAACTATTTCAACTTGGATTCTTCTTCTCCTTTCGGCACATCCCTATTCAGGGGTCGCCACAGCGAGTCAGTAATTTCCATCCGCCCCTGTAAACCGTCCTACCAACTCGCATGGTCGTCTTGGCAAAAGTTTTACGCCGGATGCCATTCCTGACGCAACCCTCCCCATTTCTCCGGGCTTGGGACCGGCACTGGGGAACAGTGCACCCCCAGGGGAGGGCACTGCCCCCCAGCGGCTGGGTTAACTATTTCAACTTGGATTATGTAGGCATAATTAATGAAGGGTCTTGTTAATGTTTACTCAAAATTTACTCCTCACTCCGCCCCTTTACTGATGGGCCACCACCAAGTCGAGCACCCATACGCACAGTTATGCTACGTTTAGGCCAAACGTGAAATATAGCAACTTGTCTTGCGTGTTTGTTCACGGGGGTGACTACACTGGGAGCCACCTCGGAAAGTCACAAGGGGCGTCATGGTGGTCGACTGGATAACACGTCTGCCACACAGTGCAGAGGTCCATGGTTCGAATCCGGGCTTCCTGTGTGGAGGTTGCTTGTTCTCCCTGTGCCTACATTGGTTTTCTCCGGGTGTTCTGGTTTCATCCCACATTCCAAAAACATGCACGGTAGGTTAACGGAGCACACCAAATTGTGCCAAGGTGTGACAGTGAGTCTGCGTGGTTGTTTGTCTCTGTGTGCCCTGCGATTGGCTGGCAAACATTTTAGCGTGTACCCCGCCTACTGCCGGAAGACAGCTGGGATAGGCTCCAGCACGGTCGTGACCCTCGTGAGGATAACTGGCTCAGATAATGGATGGAATGGATGGTTATAATTGTATTTCTGTTTGTGTGGACCTGAACCTTTCCTTTTGCTTGAACATATATTTTTTGGCCTTCCTGTTTATCCATGTGTGACAAACTGTATTTTTTTTTTTTTATTTTATTTTTTTTTTAATGAGTGTTTTTTTTTTTAAATGTTTTTAGCGTGAAACTCGAGCGTCTTTGCGTAGTCTGCCAATAATGTCGGTCCCCTGTCGAATTAAATGTTGTGAATTGTGGGTAATACTTTTTTCAAAGGTTAGTCAAGAGTAGCCGATGCGGTAAAGATGCTTCCTGACACCTTTCCTGAGCATTTCTAGAATTCGAATTATCCTCTTCTCTAAGTACTTCCGGTCATCTTAATTGGATAGGATAGGAAAGGAAATTTCCAAGGCAAAAAGGAAAATTCGAAGAGGCCCTGGGATTGCTTAAGGCGGACAGGCGCAGGGGCTCTTCTTCTCAGGAATAAAAAAAAAAGAGTTTAAATATCAGGAAACAATCTGGTGATCAGTGGTTGTGTTGGCTGCTTAATGCTATCTTGGTTGACGGTTCAACAGTTATAAACAATTCAGTCCACTCAAAAGTAACTCTGACTTCCTTTCTCCCAATTCGCCAAGGGTGCTCCTTTTTTGTCTCCATCCCTGTCGGTAATGGAAGCTGGCCAAGTCGTATACAACTCTGGGTCCCACAGACTGCAATGATATTGTCCCACATTGTTTTTATTTCACGATGCTCTATGTGTGTGTCTTATTTAAGCATTATTTTGCTGTGTGTGCTTGTACTACTTATATACAGGTATGTGCCGTAGTAAGTACATTATCAACGCCAAAATATTCACTGAAGCCGACCGATCATGGCGAAATAACAAAAATTTTGCTTTCAATGTGCCACCTGGCTTGTAACTGCGCCTGATCACATGAACTGCATTGATTATATGGAGATGAGTCTGCAGAAATGCTGTGCATGCATCCGATCCGACTGTAGTGTTAGAATGCGCTTTGTTCTCAGCACAAAAATAGCGCCCTTAAATTTGGCTGCTTCTGGGGAAATGACTTTGTCATTCCCCCTCAAGGGTTTCCACAATCGCAAAGTGAATTCCGAAGTATTAATGAAGAGCTCTTTATTCAGATCGTCCCCAAAAGACACAGATAAAGACGTCTTGAGTCAGCATTACATGCTCTCTGTTGTCCTCTTTATCAAGGAGAACTGCCTTTATCTGCGAGGTGGGTGAGAAAGCCTTTGGTGCTAGCCTGGTAGTGTAGGGACTGATGATTAATCACTATATACAGTACATATAATTGGGCAAGCACATTATGTTGAATTCAAGAGATTTTCCTAGCGCTTAACATTTAGGCTCATGAGTGAGCAGGAGCCCATTTGGAGAGAGAACAACAACTTCACTTTTTTTTTTCATATACATAGGTGGTGATGTTGGAGGTAATGTTGACTAAACGATGAGGCCATTGATATTTTTTTTCAGTCAGTGACTAGCCGTGGGCCTCCAAACAAACCCACTCAGTCACTCTCCTTGTCGACCTCAGTTGCACAGGCTCCACCCCCGACTTGATCATCCGATCACACTTCAGTACCTTCAATCCTAGGACGGTCGGGGATGAGAATTAAACCCCAAACCTCAGAACTGTGAAGCAGACTTGTTTAACACTCAGCTATGATCTTGCAGTCGCAATGGTTGTACAGTACTGTATGTCTCTATATGTGCGACCAGTCCAGGATATTGTCTTCCTTTTGCCCAAAGTCAGCTGCGATACACTCCAAAAAAGAGATCCTTTGAATTAATTTCATTCTGGGTTGCACATGTTTAAAATGTGGTAAACCAATGTAATTTTCTTGTGTTTTGTCCGAAAATAAACACATGATAAGTGTTAGTTTAAAACATTTTAATCATGTGCAAACAAAAATCAAGTACTGTACACTGAAAAAAATGGTATGTGCAATTTACTCAATTTTGTTTCGTCAAGTGGTTGCACAAAACAAAATCATCTGAATCCAGACATGTTTTATGGAGCTGGAGTATATATATATCTCTCAGGATCCAAATGTTTTTTTGTGCAACCACCCGATAAAATAAAGTTGACTTGTTTCAACAAAAACTCAAAAAAGCAAGATAATCTGCATTCAAAAATGGATGGATGGATGACAGCGTATCACTGTTAATAACTAAAGCACATGGTGATGAAAATAAACACAATAATTAGAACAGATGGATGAATTTAGGGGGTAGACACAAAACCTTAATGGTGGCGCTGGGTGTGATATTTTCAGAAGAAAGCATGTGACTCAGACAACCCTTCAGACTAAAGGCAAACAAAAAAGACAACTTGCATTATTTGGGGCAAATTCGGAGGCTTCGTGTTTTGAGTAGCTCTTTCCTACTCATGCCCACTGCAAGGAAAGCTTTTCTTTACTTGGGCATATATGTGGAACACAAACGGCCCCGTCAACCTGTCTCGGGTGGCGTTGGAAGTCAAGGAGACTTTACTCCCTTCAGCTACTCCGGGCTCATGCTCAACTGCACTTTATTCTCAGCCTTGATTTGCGTGCGCCTGGTGCGCTTTTAATTGGTGCTGCATAAACATGAACAACCTTTGAGGCATTGGCAGCCACAGACTACTGCCAAAATAGAGCTCAGGGTGGGCAACAAAACTGAACACCATCCCGCTGTCCTGTTACTGATGCTAATGGGACTTGTGCGAAAACAATATAATACTAACACTGCGGTTTCGTTGATTTCAGTTTTCATACAAAAGGGGATGTTTTTTTACATTGTTTTATCCCCACTAAATGGACTGCATGCCTTGGTTTGAAAAAGAAAATGGAACTTTCATTTTTTCTTGTGGTTCCCAAATTTGTCATCGTCTTCAGTACCATGATAATTTCTCAGGATCTTTTTTTTAGAGGTATCCAACCATCGGGCCTTTGCTGACATCATTTGCAAGGGGAGGAAAAAATTCTCAAATTAGACCAACCGACAAAGTACAAACTGAAATCGCTGGTCACAAGGAGCCAGGAAAAAACACTGCATAAAACAAAAAGCGCTTGTAAAGGCAAGGACAAGAGAACACCGAGTACACACAAACAAAATATCACAAGTCGAAATAACGCCAAACTGAAGATCAAGATCAATAAAAAGGAATAATGAAAATACTTGCAATGTTCTATGACAAAACGAGGGCGACTATGAAAGATATCGAGACCTTGTTTTGAGCCTCGAGCACAGCAAATGTCCACTGCAGTGCTGCCACGATAACACTAACACTTTCACTCTGGAACACTGTTGTTGAGTTTCTATTTATACACTAGTTATTCAATTAACAACAATTATAATTGCAAACATACTGAGGAAAATAAATGTCTCATCTTTTGCAAAATATAGGATAAGGCATATCAGCAGGGACATCAGTCTCAGTAATGAGCCCCCTTGCGGACCCTCCGATGACTCTCAACCTGCTTGTACGCAATAAATAGTATTAAAGCAAGTTTCTCGCATTTTAATCCTATGATTTATTTCTTTATTTTCAGAAGAAAAATAATATATGACGGAGCTTTTACAGCCATGAGCAATCTTTTGCTTTTTGGTGGGGTCTCGACAGAGGCTCCAGACAGCAGCGAGCGCAGTCGGATTTCTCTTTTGACTCCCACTCTTTTCTGCTGGCTGCTGTTCCTACCGCCGTGCCTGCCAAGAAAGCGCCTGTTTACCATAAAAGCATACAATATTTAGATTGGCGTGGTGGACTGGATTGTTTTCTGAGAGCGGAGTAAAACATGGACCCACAATTAGTTTTTAACGTCGTACACTTGACGGCTACAATATTGGGTACACATGCATTGTTTAATCAACGCATCTCTGGTAATATTGCTTAAAAACTGAACACTATCTTTTTTTGTTGTCATATATGTGGCCAAGGTGTGCGTAGGTACCGTGGCCAGCGCTGGTCTTGAGCGTGGCCAGCTCCTTTTTAAAATGCTTTGTCGCAAGTAATGATCTGCCATTCAGATACACTCTATGCTAAATGCAAAAAACAAAGGTCTCAAGTCAAGAAAGAAAGAAAGAGGGTCGAGTGAAGAAAATTCTTGCATATTAAAGTCGAAAGAAGAAGAATGATACTGGTGTTGTATAGAACTAAAAGAAATGAGCCTAGCCTGGCTTCTTTTGGACATTTGTATTCTTTTATCCATCTATCTTTCCATTTCGAACACCGCTGCTTATCCTCAACAAGGTCGCGGGGTTGCTGGATCTGATGCCAACTGACTTTGTGCAAAAGGTGCATTTACACCCTGAACTGTTCGCAAATCAGTCACAGGGCTCATATAGAGACAAACAATCATTCACACCCACATCTACACCATCACTGAGTGGGAAACCGATCCCACGCTACTCGCACACAAGTCAGGCAAGTGTACCACTACTCCTTCAGTGACGAGTCTGGAACGTGTTCCTCAAAACTCACTCAGTAGCGTTCTTGCCGTTTCCAGACATTTCAGAGGAAGTCACTCCTTTCACCAGTTTCATCGATCAACACAAAATTAGGCAGACTTGTCTATCATAAAATTATAAAATGACTCACAAAATATTTCAAGGATCCATGCCCAAAACTGAAGAAGAACTCGGTTGTTTTGGTTTGAAGCAGGCATTTTGGGCGTATTCCAGGGCTGGGATCAACTCTTACCAGGGAATTCTTCAAAATGAGCTCTATAATTCCATCCATCCATCCATTTTCTGAACCGCTTTATCCTCACAAGGGTCGCAGGGGGTGCTGGAGCCTATCCCAGCTGTCTTCGGGCAGTAGGCAGGGGACGCCCTGAACCAGTTGCGAGCCAATCACAGGGCACACAGAGACGAACAACCATCCGTGCTCACACTCATACCTAGGGAAAATTTAGAGTGTTCAATCAGCCTGTCATGCATGCTTTTGGAATGTGGGAGGAAACTGGAGTACCCGAAGAAAACCGACACAGCTCTATAATTGGAGCAGGTATCCTATTCAGATGGTTGATGCTTTTTTTTTCAATCTCCAGTACCGAGTGTTAGTGGAGAATGGCGCCAAAATTTGACGATCTTTTTGATGGATCAATTAACCATCAAAAAGATGCGAGGGCCCCTTCGTCGCTGCTTGCCCCTTCCATTTTCCTTGTTCTTGTTTTTGTGTTCAGCAAGTGATTCCCTGGCTAGGGCAGGAGCTGCCATGCCATTTGGTTGTCTGACGCTCGGGGAGAAGAAGGATTACAACAATCCCGCTGAAGTCACCGACAAGTATGATCTGGGACAAGTCGTTAAGTCGTAAGTCAGGCCGATGAAGAGAATAATCGAGAATGTTGCTCCAAAAAATAATAGGAACTCCTTTTTTTCCTTTGCAGAGAGGAGTTTTGCGAGATGTTCCGAGCTAAGGATAGGAACACCCTGAAAATGTACACCTGCAAAAAGTTCAACAAAAAGGACGGCAGGAACGTGAGGAAAGCGGCCAAGAATGAAATCATGATCCTCAAGATGTAAGTGGAGCTCAGCGACAAGGATCACATTCAGCCCTTTTTCCAAATACTGGCTGACTTGACTGAGATTTTATACAATACTTTGTTGAGGTCATTAACCCCAAGTCTCTCTCCACTGAGTAGCGCCTTTTGTGAAATAAACATTTTTCCTCAGTGTTGCTAAGTGACAGTTGGAGTGTGAAACAATGACTGTACTTCGCATAAAGCAAAAGTAAAGTCACATACGGTGTGACAAAATAATTGTGCTTAAAATGCTTCTACTGCCCCCAAGTGGGCAAAATAATCTAAAATGAAGACATTTTCCCAAGAATAACTGTTGGATAACTTTTGTACTGTACGTCATACCTGTCACAACTTTCAGGAATGAGGGCCAGTTATCCATCAATTACAGAATTGCAGCAGAATGTTCAATTTCTATATCATTTGTTCTCACTCGGGTCAAACGCTGGAACGAGCGCAGGGGCGCATAAGCATCTATTCACACTGACATTCACGCTTTTTGACAACTTAGAGTCTTAACCTAATATGCATGTATATGGAACGTGGGAGGAAGCCAGAGTACAGGAAGAAACCTTAGAACTGTGAGGCGGACGTGCTAGTCGACGAGTCGACAGCCTGGATACAATTTTGTGAGAGTTAAAAAGAACATCCATTGTTATTTTCCCTGTACAATAAAGTCATTCTGTTCGAGTCCATTAAAACATGTTGCATGATGTCATGCTTTTCCCTTCTACGGTTGCGTATTGGAGTTTATGATGAGGCATGTTCGATACCACTTTTTTACGTAACGATACCAGTACGAGTACTCAACTCTTGAGTGCTGACCGATACCGATATACCAAGTAACTGATAACACGAATACTTTTGACACATCAGATTTCTATTAAACTAAGAAGTTGGAAAAACGGGGCTGGTCGATACAGCTGAAAAAGTGATCGCAATGAACGTATTTCATATCAGCATATTTTACAAAATATGGATTCTTTTTTTTTTAACCTATTAAAATAAGAACAAAGATGAAATGGCCAAAAGATTCAATATAATAAAATACACACATCCAGAGGAGAAATACTCTTCATATTACAAAATATAAGTACATAAAAGTACAAAAAGCTCGGCAACATGTAAGTATAGTACGAACTATGAATAAGTAAAAGCGTACTGCATTCAACAGGACTTATTATTAATGACCTAAATAATAACAGTCCACATTTCAAAATCATTGAAAGCAGGTAAATGTGATAAGTGCTGCATATGCATGAAATATAATGGAGAAAGTCATCACATCACTCACTTCTTTTATTCCACTTTTCCTCTTCACAGGATAAAACATCATAATATCCTCCAGCTGGTTGACGCTTTTGAAACAAAGAAGGAATACTTTATTTTTCTGGAACTGTAAGTAGTCATGTTGACCTTGTGAAAACGCCACAAGATGCCTTTTCATCATTACGTTTCTAATCTGCAGAGCAACAGGCAGGGAGGTATTTGACTGGATTTTAGATCAGGGCTACTATTCGGAGAGGGACACCAGCAACGTGATGAGGCAGGTGCTGGAGGCAGTAGCATATTTGCACTCTCTGAATATCGTCCACAGAAATCTGAAGGTATGGTGCTTTGCTGACACCCAGTGATGAGTAGGAGCACTTCACAACATGAACTCAAGTCTATTCACAAATACTTGTTCTCCTCACACAGCTGGAGAACCTAGTGTACTTCAACCGCTTGAAACATTCCAAAATCGTTATCAGTGACTTCCAGCTCGCAAAACTGGAAAACAGACTTATTAAGGATCCATGCGGGACTCCGGAGTATCTTGGTGGGTCAAGTTTGACATGCTGAACGTCATACTAGAACTATGGAAAACTAAGAGTGCTTCTTTCTTATTTTGAGCTCCTGAGGTTGTCGGAAGGCAGAGATATGGAAGACCTGTGGATTGCTGGGCAATAGGAGTCATTATGTACATACTGTAAGTACAGCTGATCGGAGATTGGAGAAAGAAATTGGTCACGAGAAATGTGGTCAGGTTTATTCTTCCGGTATTGGCTTTGTATGACATGGAAAGGCTATATGTGGCATAACAATCAGACACTCGTCAAGTAAAAAACAAGAAGTCAAAGCTACATGTGGCTTAACAATCACATATTCATCAAGACAAAATAAAAATTCTGTTATCCATCCATCCATTCGCTATCGCTTATCGGGTCGCGGGGACAAAAGCTTCAGCAGGGAAGCCCAGACTTCCCTCTCCCTGGCCACTTCTTCCAGCTCTTCCCGAGCAATCCCAAGGTGTTGCCAGGCCAGCCGGGAGACGTAGACTCTCCAGCGTGTCCTAAGTCGTCCCCTGCGCCTCAAGCCGGTGGAATATGCCCAGAACACCTCACCAGAGAGTCCAAGAGGCATCTTAATCAGATGCCCGAGCCACCTCATCTGGCTCCTCTCGACCTGGATGACCGAGCTTCTCGCCTTATCTCTAAGGGAGAGCTCGGACACCCTGCGGAGCAAACTCATTTCAGCCGCTCATATGCAGGATCTGGTTCTTTTCTGAGAGGCATTAATCTACTCACTACAACACTCGGAGTTTAAAACACTGCGAAAGTGATTCTCCTCTCATAAATCAATTAATCGTTCATTAATTTCCCCCAGTGGTCAATTAAGAAAAGTGATTGACCCTAACTGTTATGATTTTTGCTGATCCAATAGCTTGTCCGGGAATCCTCCATTTTACGATGACACCGACGAAGATGACCCTGACAGTCGAGACAAAAACCTCTTCCTCAAGATTTTGTCGGGAGACTACGAATTTGACTCGCCATACTGGGATGACATTTCCGATTCTGGTAATCAACTCCACTCTTGTTTGTGTTGTCGAGCAGTCAGTAGTTCACCGTTGGTTGTCTTTTCAGCCAAAACTTTAGTGGCGTCTTTGATGGAGGTGGACCAAGACCAGCGACTGACTGCACAGGAGGCTATCGCCCATGAATGGTACGAGATCAATAAAACAGTATTTTATTTAACTTTTTCAGGGACAGCGGTTACTACAGTGGACATCTTATCATGTTATCAGGTTACAGCGTGCATGAAAGGGTTAAAAATGAGAAATGAACACGCCATGCTTTTATGAACAGCACAGGGTTTCAAAATTTCTACGCGGTGATACATACAATTCATTCATTCATTTTCCGATCCGCTTTATCCTCACAATGGTCGCGGGGGGGTGCTACTTCGCGGTTCGTTTATCGCGGGTTCAGTGCATTGCGGATTTTTTTCAAACATATAAAAAAATAAAATAAAATAAAAATATATATTTTTTATTTTTTTAATATACATGGAGTACAGTACTGTACTATATCCTAGAGAAGTAAATATTTGAACAGATTTAACATCTGTGGATGAAAATTCCCCTTAACACACCCGCACCTTTGGATCTCGCTATTTCATTTAAAGATTGACTTTGATCAAAATAGAGAAAAAATGCTCACATTATCACCCCGATTGTCATGTGTTCCATATTTGTGTGTACCCCGCTTAAACTGTGTTGTCTTTGCACAGGATTTCTGGGAATGCTGCTTCAGATAAGAACATCAAAGATGGCGTTTGTGCGCAAATAGAAAAGAACTTTGCAAAAGCCAAATGGAAGGTATAAATTGTTATATTTTCGGGCTGTCGGTGGATTTCTGTTCTGAATGTACAAGAAGAGTATTCTTAAAGTTTTTTAAACTCTTGTTAACATGGCAGTGGGAAAATATGTTTACTTTCTGAAAATATTCAAAACAATTCAGTACTGTGCCTTTTAATCCAGAAAGTTATTTAGTCTATATGCAACCCCATATGTACAACCCTATTCAGTATTATGAAGTTGAAAAGTGTCATTGATTTGTCTTGTCATGTAAATGTGCACAGATATATTCTGGAATTACAATTCATGTTGGACGTTGAGGAAGCAGTTCAAGTCAAATTTATTTTTCAAGTAAAGAGTCAAAGAAAAGCAAAGGACAGAATGGAAAATGAAATTGACATCCTTGGGCTGAAGAAAGTAACGCACTTGAGAATAAAAGGCCAGCATGAATGATTCCAACAGATAAAATTGAAAATTGAGGCTTAAATTTGATTTAACAATGCAACATCCACGTGTTCCAAGCACTGCAGCCGAGAGAAACATGACAAAATAAAGAGAAAAGAGCTTCGGGAATAGATTCATACAATTTAATGGAACAAATATTAGATTGAGTTTGTAAATGTAGGTGTTTCTGACGGTATTTGTTGAATATATTTTTGGGGACATTTTTGTTTGGTGGTGTGCCGTGAAATTTTTCCAATGTAAAATATATACTTTAGTTCAGTGAAGGCAGAGATACACTGATTTCGACATCCATCTCCATGTGTTTGGTTACTCACAGAAAGCTGTCAGAGTTACCACTCTCATGAAGAGGCTCCGGGCATCCGAGCAGGGGGATTCCGGAGCTTCCGGAACCGATGCCGGAGCACCCTCAGGCACTGCTGCTGCTCCAGTAGCAGCAGGCGGTGGCCTTGGCCTTGCCGCCAGCCTAAAGGCAGCTCTTAGTGCAAACGCTCCCGACACACAGACTTCCGCCACGCCCACGGAGCCTCAGCTGAGCACAGCCACAGCCGAGGAGAAGCCGGAGGAACGGTGCAATGGTGATGTTCTCTAAAATAAAAAAGGAGCGGGAATTAACATACACAAAGAAGATTCATGATGACTAACAAGCACATTAGCAGTACAATCACGATGGTTGGCATAACCTTGTGGTGTTTATGTTGTCCAACTATTCCCCGATTTCTCCTGTAATGCATTTCATCAATTTTGCCTTCTGTACTGATTGTTCTGTAGTATTTGCCACTCTCTTGTTACTTTGTGTGCAGGTCCCTTTAAAAAAATATATACATGTAGTTCCAAGTAGCTCCACTTTTGTGCCCCCTTTTCCCTTCTGACTAACTGTACAAATGTGAAGTGTAATTTAGTGAAATCAATTTCATGTTAGAAACAGATTGTATGTATATGTAAATAGTGTGTATTTGTTTCAATCCAATGGCTAGTGGTAAACTTCAGATTAGAATTCATGCCGAGGAGATTTTAGTTTAAAAAAGAAAAACACCTTATCTAAATGAATATGTAAGAAACCTAATGCAAACAATCGTAAGATTGTTAGAATTTGTCATACATTTCTCAACCCTCCTGTTAAATTGTGGGCCAAATTGAACTATTTAAAAACAAAGACACGAAAAAACAAAACAAAAAAAACAGCTAAGTAGTTTTTCCTGTATGCAAATTTTGATGACCTAAATGTAATCATCATAAAGTGCAGCTCGGAATAGTTCATTTCACTTAATAGGAGGATGAGTCAGTGATTAGTTATAAACAATATTGATTGTATTTTGTTTTATAATTTTTGGATAATTGAACATGCTGCAGGTCAAAGTGACGCCATGTGAAAGCATGGCATTCACTCGCCTGAGTTACTCTTCGTTTGCAACAACATAACAGGAGGGTTTAAACGTTCTCATCTTTTTATTTATCACACTCAAAATGATCCTTCTCAAAAGCTATGGAGTGGAATTACAATCAGACACCTGCCTATGTGCCTACCTAGCTCTCTAGGCTGGAACACGGGATATTAAATTATGTGTCGTTAAATACAATTAGTAGAATAACAAATATAGTAAGACAGTAAATTCAATTTCTACTACAATTACGAATGTCAAATTGACATTCCCCTAGTCACTTGTGTCTGAGATATTTCAATGAGAGATATTTCATAACTTTCACACTCAAAAAACTTTTAATCACAGTCGAATGACAACAAGAAAGCTTTTTTCCCCCTTTTTGTTTAAGTGCCTTAATATTCTTTGCAGTAATGAAATGTTTCAAAAGAAACAGCTCAATTAAAATGACCTATTTATTATTTCTTTGAAATGTTTTTAGCTGCTGCACTTACTCTTCTTTTTTAGAGTCACTTAGGCCGCTTTACAAATATTGTATTCCCTCCTTTTTACCAATGTTATTGAGGTCAACTTGAGAAGAAAAAAAATATTACACCATAAATGAACGTCTTAATCTTACGTGAATAATGTAGATTTTTTTTAAATTAAAAATCATGCAGTTTGATCAATTATAATTTTCCTGAGACTGAAGTCATAATTTTACACGAGTAGTCGTACATTTTTGAAAAATAAGTCGTATACAGTATTCTAGAGAGAAAAAGTTTTACTTTTTATTAACATTAAGGTTGTAATTTTACGAGAATATAGTCCTATTTTTTCATCTAAAAATTACTATTTTTGAGGGGGGAAATTAGATCTTTGAGGCAGTTGCATATTTTTAACTTCAGTAATCATTAAAGTAGAATATTTTTTGATTGGATTGTTTTTAATAATGTCATATTACCATGAAAATAAAATGAATACAGTATCTTGGCACATCAACATCAGATTACAATTTTTATTAAATGATTATGGTCCACAGTTATCTTTTCTTTGCTTTTATTACAAAGAATTACAACTACTTTTGTAATATTCAGATTTACATTGCAACTTTAATCTAAAAAAATAATCAACTTTTTTTTTAAATCTCAAAACTATCAAGACTTTATTTCTCTAAATATAAAATTTGATTATCCTATGTTAGTCTATGAAATAGATGACTTTTAAAAATAAACATCCAGTACATGATTTTATTGTCCTAATATTACGACTTAAATATCGAAAATATACAACTTCACTCTTCGTAATATTACATACTCCAACATCCATCCAGCCATCCATTTTCTTATCTGCTTATCCTAACAAGGGTCGAGGGCATACTGGGGTCTATCCCCGATAACTGTGGGCAGTCGGCGGGGTACACCGGAGTACACCGAACTGGTTGCCAGCCAATCGCAGGGCACACATAGACGAACAACCATGCGCGCTTACAATCACACCTCGGGACAATTTAGAGTGTTCCATTAACCTGCCACGCATGTTTTTGGAATGTGGGAGGAAACCAGAGTACCCGGAGAAAACCCACGCAGTCACTGAGAGAACATGCAAACTCCACACAGGAAGGCCGAAGCAGGAATCGAACCCTGCACCTCTGCACTGTGAGGCAGACGCGCCACCCTTACTACAACATTAATCTCGAAAATATACAACTTTTCCCCCCCGAAAAAAGTCAACTGAATTCTCGCAAGATTAAGACTTCAATATCGTAGTCTACTCATTATTCTTTTCTTTCGTGTGTGCCCCTAATTCTTCTTTGCACCAATATACACTTGTTTAAAATTAAGATTTTATGTGAAGTATTGGTTTAGCCGTTTTGCTGATGTTGTGTTGTTGATCGTAGTTAAGTGCCGCTTATTCATTCCACATGCTGTATCTGTATTATCGGCATTATGTTGATGTTTTTTGTGTGTACTAAAGCGACATTTAGCCGAGTTAGCAACTTGCTACACAACGCTTATGAAAGAATAAAATTAGCAATACTTGTCTGGTTGGCATGTTCAATTCACTCACATTTTCTCTATTTAAGCATTTGGATGCATGCATGGATGGATGGATGCATGGATAGATAGATAGACAGATAAGGTTACAAGACTTGTGAGAGAGAGCGACAGAGAGAGATAGATACTGTACACACAGACAGCCATTTTTACTCTCTCAGTCCTCGATTTACGACTGAAGTTCCGTTGAAGGTTACAAGACTTGTGAGAGAGAGCGACAGAGAGACAGATACTGTCGACACAGACAGCCATTTTTACTGTCTCTCAGTCCTCGATTTACGACTGAAGTTCCGTTGCCTCTTTGCCGTCAGCCCTGCGTGTGTGGAGTTCATTGACTGCGACCCTTCAAATTACTGAGGTGGGTGCATAATCATAATTAAAATGAAGCGATATACGCAGAAATATCCTGGGAATTCTTTGCATTTAGAAACGCAAGCGGGGTAGCTCACGGACTGAGCGTTTTAAATGGAATGTCTACCAAGCTAATGCTAAGACCCGCGAAGTGTAAACTCTTCCAAACGTTAGTTGAATACACAATAGATTACCATTTCATAGTTGCACACCACGCGAATATTGCATTTCGATCACGTCCGAATCGGTGGCGTTTCAGTAAGTTTACCTCCGCGTTGATAGTCTTATCCACCGTTAGCGGGCCTTTCGTTTTGGGCCCACTGGAAGCTAAGCAAGCACGCAGGCAGTCATTGATTGACGTGAGCAGACTTTTTATCCCCATAAATATAACTTCAGCCTCATTGGAGCGCGGCACTCACATTTATAGTAATGTAGCAATGTTGTGTCGTGAACCTTCGGGGGTCAGGGACCACAATCGAATTGGGAAAATTTGCATAGGCAAGTAATGGACCCCCCCGCAACTAGTTTTCCAACAATTGCACCATTTAGCATAGGCAAGTAATGGACGCCCCCCCACCCCCCGCAACTAGTTTTCCAACAATTGCACCATTTAAGTGGTTGACTCTCAGTATTCCACCATCTTTTAAAATGCCAAAACACATTTCATTATATTATTTCAAACTCATTTTACATTACTTTTATGAATAAATGACGTATAGATATACTACAGAATAATCAGAAAATATTTTGTAAACCCGTCTTTAGTTGGGCACATATTACACAGCTTGTCATTACGAGCTGATCAGTTGTGAACTTCCACCACTATTAGCAGTCCAGACCTTTCTGTGGATCATCTTGAGATGTTTTCAGCACGATTTTTCCGACATAAACACCTCAAGGCATCTCACATGCCTGTCAGACCTCAAGTGGAATCTCCCATCCCGCTGCCTTTTGCTGTAAACCTGGCCGGCCGTCACATTAGGTTAATTCACATTAGGTTCCTGCTCTGCTAGAATATCGCCACTCAAGAAGTAGCATGGGTTACATAACTGAAACAGAAGAAAAAAAACGCACACACAAATAAATGTGTTTTTCCAGCTGATAGTTTTCCTAAAGGTTTCACGGGGAGATTTATGTGAAAATGCAATTTTTCAAATTGTTTTTGCTTACATTAGTGGTGTCCTGATCCAATATTGATATCGGATATTGGTCCAATATATCCCAAAAAAGAGTATCGGTATTATACCGATCAACATCCAAAATCAAGTATGTTCTTAGAGTTGAATGTATGTAACCCAAATGGTTGGAATAAATGGGTCATATTCTCTCATACCATCTGTTCCTGACTATTGTTCTATGTTTGAATAGTTCACTTGATCAAATCTCTTCTAACATTTCATACTTGAACATAAATAAAAGCATGCGTCAAACCTGATATTGTATTGGACAGTACTCCTGGTTGCAATATCGGTATCATATCGGAAGTGAAAAGGTTGAGACACTTCTAATTGATACGTCAGCTCAATCAGCAATATTTGGCAACATTCACATCTATCTAATTTATGTTTTTCCCATGATACTCTTTCTAGAAAATGTGGGATGGACCAGGGCAAGGACCGAGGGGAAGACCCCCATTCAGGGCTGCGATTTGGTATATTTCACAATTCACAATGTCTCCAGTTACCACAGTTTTACTTTTGTAATTTTGCACATAGTGCCTCAGTATTATGGAGTCTTATGTGACACCGACGCAAACACTAACCTAGACAGGGGGTCCTTGGCTTATCGTATTTGACATTTTGAGATTATGAGCAGCAGTTAGTCATAGTTAACAATTAGGGTTGGGCATTGTTTGAAAATGGACTATTCCCGGGTCCAATTCTGGTTTTTCGGTTGGATTCATGTTCCTCATGATTCTCAATTCTGATCCTGATTCGTTCATTGTGCACCAGTCAAAACGCCTCATGCCAGTCTCTTGGCAAACTGCAGACCCCCTCCTGTTGGAATGGACTGATTGTGAAAACACTATGTTTAGGAATAGTTTTGAACTTTTGTTGATGTTTTCAAGTGGCAAAATTAGCATTTCCAAGGCATCTTCCAAACACGTTATGTGATGCTTCTCCGATAGTTGCAGTGCAGCATTCACGCAGGAATGACGAGTAACTTGAATGAAACATGCCACTCGCTGATGTATACACACCCTTTTTTGCTGATAGAACACAAATTAGCACCCCTTCTCAATGTTAACTAAAGGAGATAATTAAGCATGTTCTAAAAGTGCTATGTTGGGGTATAACCATTAAAGTTGCCTAAGTGGGAATTTCTCCATTGTGAGATAAAGGTTTTCTTATCTGAACTAACTAATGATCAATTTTATTACAGAGGTAATCACCGCGGAAGAGATCATCCGATGCCTGATTTTTGGCGTAGAGATGGGATGAATATGGGTCCCAGGGGCCCAATGGGTCCTCTGGATCTACCACCTATGGACATAAGAAGAATGGATTGTCCACCGATGTGGGGACGTGGCATGAATCCGCGTGGTAGAGATGTGGACAGAAATTATTTCAGATCTGGCCCTGGTCCGGATTTAGATTTCCGAGGGCAGTTTGATGGTAACAGAGACAATTTGATGAATTCACCGGGTTTGTCAGGATTTGATATGGGCGGCAGAGATGTGCCAACATGGGGGCAAAACAACAGACATATGGACATGAGAGACAGGGACATGTTTCGTGATATGCCTCGCTTCAATAATCTCAACATGGATGGGAGAAGAGGGTTTCCCATGGGCAGAATGGAAAACAAGGATGACTTTAGGGACATGCGGCCCCCCATGGGCATTGATAACCGTCGTTTTAACATGGACATGCCTCCTCATGAAAGGAGGATGATGGACATAGATAGAAGAGGAGGACCACCTTTTAATCCAAGAGGTGGGTTTGAGTCGGATATGGATTTCAGAGATCGGCCCGGTCCGCCATCTGAATTTCGCGGCAGGGAGCGCTCGCCTTTACGATTTGAAAATGATGGCCCTCCAATGGACAGGGCGAGAGCTGGCATGTCTCCCGATGCTAGCGGGTCACAAAGATCTGACTTCAAGGGTCCAGAAGACAAGGCCACAATTAGTGAGGGTCCAGAATCGAGCGGTAGCCCCCTCATAGACTATCGGAGTGGTGAAGAGATGACTCTTGCAGAGGAATGGAAGAGCCGCCAAAAGGATAAACCCCCTCTCTCAGACAAAGTTCTGGAGGGTATCTCTGCTCCCGCCTACTCAGCAGATTTTCGGAGAGATGCGACCAGTCGAGATCCACTATTTCATGAGAGGGATAGACCTTCTGTTGACTTTCCAGGGAAAGATGTCCGCTTCGCTCGCGGTGATCACTTTGCCGAAATGGACCGCCCTCTGCTTGGTAGAAACTCTCCACAAGAAAGAATTCCCCCGTCTCCCACCCCAGCTTTAAGAGGAAATGAGAATAATCGCTGGCTCGCAGAAAGAGACTTGGAACAGAATCAGAATAAACCAAAGCTTGGTGAAGAATACCACAAGAACCAGCCAACTCATGAAACTGCGGAGCCAACTGATAGTTTTACGGCACTTGAAGATATGACACACAGCGAAGGACAGACTCGGGGTAAGGTGGCAGAACTGGGAGATTTTCAAAGCAAGGACCAGGACTACAGAGACATTGATTACAGGACAGCTTCTGCTAGGATGTTTGAGTACAAACCGAGGGATCTTCAAGCAACACCTCTGATCGCGGAGTCCAAACCAGCCGTTCAACCACAATTCACTGCATCTGGATCCAAGGTAAATTTGATTTCATTCATTAAAAAAATGAATAGATGACTCATCGACTATCGGTTCCACACATCCGTCAGTATTGTCGATCGATTGTTCTCATCCCTCATGCTTGTATTTTGGTGATAACGGCTTTTGTTGGACACTTCTATAAAAGGATCAAGATTACAGGAGCGCGTCAGTGGAGGGCAAAGTGTCCACAACGGTATCCATAACTGGCATTCCAAAGACTGCTACGATGGAGCAGGTAATCAAACACACTCCTGGATTTATTTGTTTTAACCTGAATGGAAACCATCTGTTAGGAGGTCGTAGACAAATTTGCCTTATTTTTGTGTTTTCAGATTCTTGGTGCCTTTACAGTGCCAGATGGGGTGTCACAACCAGGGATGAAGATTAAAAACGTCCCAGGTAAAATACTGTGAGCCTGTGGATCTGTTTTGGGGCAATCGATTGCAAAAATGTCCCTCGATTTTACGCTCTTTTGCCGTTCGCACCTGCGCACGCGTCCTTATTTATTCTTCATGGTTGCTTTTGTTGTCTTTGCCTTTGTGATCCTCGATCAGTTTGGAACCGGGGCGGGTGGGTGGTGGTCTGAAAAGCCCGTTATGCCATCATTTGCCATGTTTGGGGATGTTGGGCCATTGCCAGCAGTTGCAGAACTCACTGTGAACCTTGAGTGGGAGTAGTGCGTGCGTGCGTGTGTGTTTGTGTGCGTGTGTGTGTGTGCGTGTGTGTGTCCTTCAAACTCATTTATGTAGATCCTTTTGTCAGACCTGTAATTACAGTGAATGTTTTTGTGGGCATACTCAACATAGTGTTTCGGGATATTTTGTTTGTTTTGCCCAAAAGTAAAAAATAAAAAAAAAAGAAATGAACGCAAAATACCATATTGCTCTGTATCCATGGTAAACATCACAAGTGTTGTCACCGCTATTGGAATATCCCCTTTATAAAAGGGTTAAGGCCTTGTTATCAGAAGATGGACTATCATAAAACCCATGAACATGCAGTGTTCCCGAGAAAGGTACAGTATTTTAGTGGATATCTAAAGCTCCCCCGCAGAGAAATGTACACTCATTTCGATGTGTTAACGCACTGCTGTCTTCATTTGTTATAGCGGGCTGACTGTGGTTACTGGAACTGACTAACAAAAACCCATCTGTATTTCAAATGCTGTCCCCAGGTTACAGCTACGATACGGCCTATGTGGAGTTTTTAAACCTCGAGGATGCAGTCCGCTTCATGGAGTCCAACAAGGTGGCCTATCCTCGTCACTCGACCAAGGCCGCCTCTCCCAACAGGATTACGAGGGGTCGAGAGGGCAATTAGTAGATTTGGGAAGGGAGTGGGGTTTCCTCTCCTAGGTCTTGGACTACAGAGGTTGAGGAATCAGTCATTTTGTTCTATAAATCCCAACAAATGTCAGGGGGGAAAAAAATTATTCCAGAAATCCATCCATCCATTTTCTTCCGCTTATCCAGGGTCGGGTCGCGGGGAAAGTAGGTTTAGCAAGGAGGCCCCGACTTCCCTCTCCCCAGCCACTTTATCTTGCTCTTCTAGGGGAATCCCAAGATAAAATCTCTCCAGCGTGTCTGTCGTCATCCCCGGGCCTCCTCCCGGTGGGATATGCCAGGAATGGTCTCACACCTAAATATTGGGTTTAGTGATGACTATCAAGAATGGCGACCCTATTTTTCAAAATTATTGTCCCGGAGAAGGCGAGTTATTCCTTCTAGCGCCACTATAAATGTACTGTTGAGCTCCTCGTGTCATTGACCGATCTTGCTAACAAAGATCTATGGGCGCAAAATTCGAGACAGAATGAACATTCCGAATAGAATGAAGTCATTTTGTTTGGGGTTGACCAGACTAGTCAACTTTACCACTGGGCAATGACAACTATAAGTTGAAGTCAATTAATCGCCAATAATGTGTTTCGGCAAGGTCGGTGGGCACTGCAAACTCACGGTGGTGCCTCAAGCTCGTGCAACTATTTTACTAAAAATCAGACCGGTAGCATGGTCACTTGCAAAATCCGCATGTGTATCCTCAAATATAACAAGAACACACGCCATCTGCTATCTGTCAGCGAATTCACCAAACTCCCTCCTGTGACAATGGAAAGACAGGCAATATATTGTACAGACAAGCGGTTGGCTGATCGTTTACCTCTTAATTGTGAAAATGGACGCTTAATGTCGCAAACAACAGTTATGCCCGCAGACACATGGCAAGCTTTTCCTCCTTTCATTCGCACCGCCGTTGGAAACGAGGATGATGGGGAAAGTGAGCGAGCGAGCTTGTTTGGAGGTGAAAGCGCACATAGCGAGTTGAAATATCAATGACATGGATTGACGTCAACGCAATTATCATCTTAGTGGATATCCTTAGTGTCTTCTGCTGTCGTGCTCACTCTGTTGATACTTTCCCCTCATGTAAACAAGTGAGAAGCTTACTCATTGTCCCTGCAGTTAGATACTTCTCTGTGGGAATTATAGTTCAGTGGAGGTTATGTGGAAAATGGTCTGGCCTACGGTCACTCATCTGAGGAATGGTAAACGGTTGTGGAACCGAAAGCTGGTTCAATGATGCTTTGGATTTTTTTTAAATGGATCTCTTTGAATATGGATGATGAGGCCTGAAGACTTGGCGTTGAAGCTCTTGGAAGAATGACCATAAAATAGCCCTTTTTTGTTTCTAGTGTCCGTGGTTCGCAAAGGAGTTTTCCTTAAGCGATGTTGCAAACGTGCTTCAGAGTGAACTTTCTCGGCGCCTTTTGGGGGTTACCATACAAATCTTTAGCATCAGGCACTGATGGGATACATAGATTGCTTGTTTGGATTTGTTATTTATTATATACATACACAAAATCCGGCTGGCTGGTGACTCTTTTGTTTCTCTTGTGTTCAGTTTCTGCTTCTCTTTTGTTTAACAGGGTCATTGTTTTTCACGGGTTTTGTAATATCTGATGGAAGTGGGGAAGTGGTCCAACTGTGGAACTTGGCCTCTTTGTATTTCAGCATCTTTTCAGTCAATTGAACATGGTGACACATGGAATGTGCTGGCTGTGACTTGGGGTTCTATCTAAGAATTGCGGGAATTTTGGGAATGGATTGACTTTTTACTAATTGTTTGGGGCTGCCATTTTCCAACTTGTTTTGAAGACAATTGCGGGAATTTTGGGAATGGATTGACTTTTTCCTAATTGTTTGGGGCTGCCATTTTCCAACTTGTTTTTTTCCTTTTATCCTTGTGTTAGGCGCGCACACGCAAAAAAGCTTAGTTTTTCGCATCATTCTCATGCAAGAACCCACCGGTAACTTTAGAGAATAGACTGTACTGTATGACGTGGTTTTCTTTGGATAAATTCACCCTTTGAATTTTGTTTACTGACACTAGTTTTTCAATTCATATGCAGACTCTTGTGAAAAATTAGTTGTTGTTTTTTTTCCTAAATATGCGTGTTTTCCTGAGATTTGGAAATGGCAATTTGATAGTATCCTGTGGCCCGAATTCACAATTGGGAGTCACGTGAATTAGTGGTTAAGCTGATCACCATGCTGAATAAGCAAAACAAACTTCCAGTTTCCGTCTTTGTCTATGATCAAAGTCTGCCTGTGGTGTTTAATAAGGTTGATGATGAGACTAAATGTGCAATATGAAGAGGACAGCTTGATAGCTGCGACGGTGTGACTCGATTGTCTGGTGTATCATATCAGGATGGCTCATTTGACAAAACACTTCTTGGGGTTCATTTAGTACTACAACAATACATGCAGCCTTCACGAGTAGCAACCACAATTCTGTAGTTTTCCCGAGTGGGGGCCTATTGTTGTATCAAGGATGGTACTGGGTCATGGATCAGTGTCCCGTCCGTGGTGCCCGTGCCACATTGCATTTTGGGTCTCTTTGGTCTTATTTTAGGTATTATCAACCTTTTTAACGGCTCATGTTGAATCCTTGCGTGTGCTCTTGTTGCAGGGTTCCCTCAAGGTTGGCACTAGAACCGTTTCCATTAGCTACTCTCATCCAGATGACAGTGAAAGAAGTGTTAATGTAAGTCCTGTAAATGTGGAATTTGTCGTTCAGAACTGTCAGGCTTGAATGGTGTTCTAGAGATGATATAGATATCTTTTTTTATAAACAAGAAATCCCATTGCAACTTGCCTCCACCTCTGGATTCACAGTTGCCCAGACCCGATCTGCCGTCAGAAGAATTTCAGTCCGGCCGAAACGAGTGCACGCCGAAAGGCCCCGAGGAGCCGCTGCCCCCCACCCAGTGGCAGCGCAACTCTGACCTTACCCCAGAGGCCTGGCAGCAGCATGTGGACCAGCAGTTTCAGCAGCAGGGAAACGAGACGCAAGCAGAGTCTTGGGGCAACCAAAATTCCCCTCACCACAATTACCCTCAGTCCAAATCAATCTTTAAGGATAGTAAAAGTATGTGCACACCCCCCCCCCCAAAAAAAAAAACATTGAAATAGTCTCTCAGTCGTTGGAATGACTGCATTCTTCTTGCTTCCCCCCAACAGCAATGATCATAAAAAATATCAAGGCCACCACAACCATAGAGGCTATTCTCAAAGCCTTGGATCCATTTGCCTATCTGGATGAGAGAAACGTTCGTCTAATCAAGGCCTCCAAGACCGCTGGAGCAAAGTGCTTTTGCTTTGTTGACATGGACTCCCATGAGGTGCCTTCAGTAAAATAGGCATGCATTACTTATGTTGCCATGTTTACTCTACACTTTTTGGAGCAAGTCTTCTTTTGTTTTGTAGCAAGTGACACGCTTGGTGGACGTTCTCGTCAACAAGCCCAATCCCCTTTATATTGACGGAGTCAGAGTGTATGCGGAGGTTGCAAAACCCCTAAAGAACCAGAAGTAAGTTGCCGGGTCGTATTTTGTGTTTCATCCCACTGTGTACACCAAACGCTATTCCTTACGATAAATGGGATTCTCACTTCATTTCTCATCTGCCTGTTGTAGTTTCAGAAGAGAATTTGACAAGCCGACCATCTTTACTCCAAGCTATCGGCCTACAGGCACCACAACGGAGGTCAGTTGTGCTCTTATTTTCGGCGAAGGAAATGATCAAACCTGTCAGGTGAACGTTTTCCTCTGGCGTTTCAGCAGCAGTTTTATCCCCAGCCGCAGCCCTTCATGCAGCCACCTCCTGAAATGCAAGGTGGGGTGACATCTTAACTCACACAGTTGTTAACGTGAATGGACCTAAAGTGGGTATGTTTTGTTCTTAGCCGGTTTGCCGACTGGTAGCAGCAATCCACCTCTGGCAGTAGATGCCAACATAAGCCAGGTAGGTGTAATGGGAGCTTTATGTAAAATTTTTCTCAAAGATACCAGTCGATTTCTTGTAACACCTGATCTCATAGGGAGTTGACTATAATGCCAGTCAAGCTGCGGATCAGTCCTACCAGGCGAGTGGAGATCAGGTGCCTGACGATGCCACAACCACCCCGAGTCAGTCGTATGGTACGAACATCTCAAGCACATTGAAAATCGGCATCTAACAGCGGGTAGCCAACTTAAGAGTGGTTCGTGGTGCGGAATTACCGAACGATGGCGCTTAAAGCTTAGTATCTACTCAGTGATTATTAACTTGACCTCTGTGTCTCCTTGTGTTAACCTGAACAATTATAAAGTTGTTTCAGAGTAGTTCTTTGCGTAACTCTTGCACATTGACTCATTCAATGCCATCCGTTTACAAAGAGGCCAACCCCATATTCAACCTTTAGTCTTTTAAAACGGAGACTTGGCTTGATGCCGGTTGGCGAAAGGCCCCCAGCAGAGTGAGCTGTTGGTCCTGTCTAGTGCACTTTGCATTGGATTTTTTTTTTTGTGTGCCTCAAATTAAATTGGCATTTAGAAACTGCATTTTGTATTTCCTCGGGATTTCTCTGTGTGATATTATAATTGGTTTGATGAACTGAAAATGTTGTATGTGATAAATATGCAAACAACACAGAAATCAGGAAAGGGGCAAATACTTTTTCACAGCACTGTACTTTTTTTCCACACAAGACAGAAAAGAAATAGCAAGAGGCAGGCTAGGTTCAAACTTGGGTTGCGTTGCCGCTGTCAGCACGCAACTCCGTCATAAACCAAGGCTGTCAAGAAAAAGGAAGGAATAACATTGACCAACAGCAAATTTTAATCAGCCATGGCTCGATGTGTCCCGAAATATATTTTAAAAAATCTTTACTTTTTTTTTGAGGACACTGGGTTTTTGAGATTTTTTTGACCGATAAAAGCATGCGCAATACCAATTTTACCATACATTGTAATTTGTCGCTGTGACATTTCAGAAAAAAATATCCACCTCTTACTGAACCTCATCCCTAATTCATAAATATCACTAAATATATTATAATATTCCATATTATGATGATTATTATTATGAAAACCTGATGTGCTAGAGATAAAACAAGGGCAGATTCAGAATCAATGCAAAAATTAATCTAGAAAAGTTTTCTGATATCTGATTAAAAAAATATTACAAATGTATTTATCAGTACAATATGATCAAATTTTTTTTTAATTTTCAAGAAACTGGTTAACACAAAAACATTGCTTCGGGTGTCATGTAATTCAATCATTTCATATTCCTATTTTCAATTCTGTTTAGTGAACAGCTGCCTGACGCATAAATAATTGAGTAGGACTTTGTACAAAATGCATGTTCATCAGTAAAAATGTATCTTGGTCATGATCCCCCTCAGATGCAGAGGAGACGCAAGATACTTCCAGTTACTTGTACGATGCCACATCAGGCTTCTACTATGATCCTGAAACCACCCTGTACTATGACCCTGGCTCTAGAGTGAGTATGCAAGACAACACGGTAGAGTTGCACGGATACATTTTTTTTTTCATAACCAGTATAAGAGAACTTGTTGATACCAAGTAGTCAACCCTAGCATATTCCCAGTTCAGCACTCACAGATGAGCATATTTTCAGATTTTATTTTTAATATTTTGGGGTGGTGCTGGGTGGCTTTTCAGGAATTGTACCTGTTTTTCAAAGAACATATCTTGAACGTTTATCCGCGTATTCACAAGTACGAATACAGACCTACAGTTTTCTGCACAGATAGTGGTATCAATCAAATCTCATGTGTCTCATACCCTTACATCTTTGTTTGTAGTACTTCTACAATGCTCAGAACCAAGAGTACCTGTACTGGGACGCGGAAACAAAGGCATACGTCCCCGTACCTGGAGACAATCAGGGCCATCATCCTGTCGTCATGACAGCCGAGGACCAAGCCATTCTTTCAAACCCGGCGGCTGACGCTCCTCTGGACATGAAAAAACCCTCCGAGCCTCCACTGCCCACCACACAGCCACCCATTTCGGCCAACAACCAGGAACCTCCGTCTCCTGAGAAGAAAGAGGATGACGACTCGCTAAGAAGAGACGAGAGGCCAAAAAGTCTCGCTGCTGTCAAGGTTTTTTTTTTTTTTTTAATATATATATGAAATGCTTTCAAAATCTCTCCATAGGAGAAAGCGTGACCAAATTAATGTTAGTTATTCTTTAGATCATGAAGGATATGGAGCGCTGGGCCAAGATACAAAACCGGCAAAAGGAGTGCGTGCGATCCCCATCACCGGTGCTGAGAGGCGGCGTGGATGATGACAGGAAGCAATCCAAGTCGGCCGATGCCGGGTTTGCGGTGTTTGAGAGGAAGGTTAGGAGAACGCGCATCCCGCCAAGATTTACCTCTCATTATTTCCAAGTCATTTACGTAATTGTGTGCCCACAGAAATCAGGGAGCGAGGATCTCTTTAAGAAGCCTCTTGCTCCAGCTAAAAAAGATGAAAAGCAAAAGGTAAGGATGTCGCAGCGAGACGCACCCCCTGTTTACACACACAGCACTCTACTCTAACTTTTGCACTGGTACCATTGGTTTGGTCGCACCATTGATGTGAAATGTTATAAATGGGAATTAGCATAGTTGTTAGGGAAAATATAAACCTGCAAACATCTGCTCCTTTAACACATGGAGCAGCAGCACATACAAATGCAGACAACAATGCTCACAACCATTTGTTCTTTTTGCTTTTTGGGGAAAAAAAACAAAGTGCATTACACCAAAGGAATGTAACCGATACTGTGTTCCGGTTGCTCTTAATTATGCTGCATCTTTTCCAGTGGATCTCAGAACTGCCTGGCAAGTTACACCACGCGATACTACATTGTAGGCACACAATGATGAAGTCCAGAGTTGCCTCTATTCTGTAAAAACCCAGGAAAAAAAGTATTGTTTAAAAATCCGCACATAGAATGATGAACCCAAATATAGCGGGATGAAACTCTTGATCCAGGGTTCATGTTTTTAACCCCCACAAGTCAGCACCATGGTTTCAGTATGTTGTGTTGCGTCTCGTCAGCGACCGATGGGCTCCTTGGGCATGCTGGCGTCAGACTACGCTGCCGGAAGCGACGAGGAGGTGGAGGAGGACAAGGAGGAGGTGGCACGCGGTGACCAGGTCAGCAAAGCGCCGCCTTCCCAGCGGGAGGACAAGCTGACGGACTGGAAGAAGATGGCCTGCTTGCTGTGCAGGCGACAGTTCCCCAACAAGGATGCGCTCGTCCGCCACCAGCAGCTGTCGGACCTGCACAAAGTACAGTACTGCCTGCTAGCACTGCTAACGCCATCCATTGTCTAGTCTCCTTTTCACGCTCGTTTGAACTCTTAGCAAAACATGGAGATCCACTTGAAGATCAAGAAGTCCAAGAAAGAGCTGGAGGCGCTTGAGAACCAGGAAAAAGAAGTGAGTGAAATGAAGAGGGGTCTTGTGGAATTTTTATGTTCGCTCCGTGCAGACGTTTGGTTGTCACGGTACTCGAAACTCTCCATCAGTGAGAATGTAATTGGGGATGGTATCGTTGTTCAGATTTTAACGAAACTACTACTCTTAACGCTACTGCTTATCAATACGGTACCTTAAGGGTATTCTTACTGGTACTACATTTGTATTGTATATTTTGTTTGTATACAGCGGTCGTTGTAAATACAGCTGAGTTGAGTTTTCCTATTTGGCCTGGACGACGCAACGTCCACAATTTCCAGAAACAATTTCAACTGTGGACTCGTCAGACCACAGAATACTTTTCCACTTTGCATCAGTCTATCTCAGTTGAGCTCGGGCCCGGAGAAGCTGACACCTTTACTGGATGTTCTTGCTGAATGGCTTTTGCTTTGGGTAGTAGAGTTTTAAGTTGGGGTATAACTTAACGATCCTCCAGTCTTTACTAATTCAAGCTCCGTCAGCATAGTACCCATCCCCAAATGTGACTGTCAATGGTTGTTTTTCAATGCATGCTCTGCGATTGGCTCATGACCAGTTAAGGGTTGTAAATGTCTCCTACACGTTCGCCACACAGCTGGGCACCAAAGAAGTTGTCAGATCACCAGAACAGAAAAGGAGAAAACACCATCACCACCAACAGCCGCAGCAGCATCATAACACCTGGGCTGGAGGGTCCAGGTATGACTCAACACAACCTTCATTTGGTTGTTCATTATCGACTGTTTGGAATTGTTCACTCATTTTGCTCCATAGTCACTGGCTTTGATTTTTTTTTTTTTAATATACTGTACAATTTATAAGATAAGAAAACCTTTATTGGTCTCGCAATGGAGAAATTCCCAATTCACAGCAGCAAAGTTATGAAAGGAGAAGTAGAACATGAAGTGCCCACACCAGTGAAATGGAAACTCGTTTTTTTAAACACTACTTGGGTGCCCTTTTAACTATAACCGGTGTTTTTGGTGAAACCAACCCATGTTGTCCCGATAATTAAAGATTACAGAATCAAAAAAGGGTGTAACAAAAACGATTTCGATCGGAAAATCGGTTTTGATTTGACGAACCAAATCAAACTGTTACATTTTAAAATATGCTTATCAAATTCTTTTATGAGAGATAAACATGAGAAATAAATTACTTTGACATTGCTGATGATTTCTTGTTTCTTTGAATTTAATCAACTTGGGCTTTGGAGAGCATTTACCTGTGCTTGCATACTCATAAAAATGACAAAACACCATAGCCGTACCATATCGAATCAAATCGTAATTGCACTGAATCAAGCCGAAACGATTATTTACAATTTAAAATCGTTACATCCTTGAATCGCATCGTACCGATGTATCGAGAATCCTATCAAGTTTGCTTTTGATAGGTTTGGTGCTTCCAATTGACAGAACACAATATTTTGCGGGTCTTGAATGATCAGTCGAAAAGGCCTAAAACAGATATGAAATATGGGGAGCTCTGCTTTGAAAATGGCTGACAGTGAAAGAGTTATGACACTGTTTTAAATTATACTGTACATATAAATAAAAAGCATACATCTCATTTCATAATGATTTTTTTTGCACTTAGGGATATGAATAAAGTGAGTGACAGACCTGGTTTGGGCTCAGAACCTCCACCGGTAAGTGTGCCGCCTTATTTCTAAAAGCCTTCACTTGATTTTCCTCACGGTTTCTCCTTATTTCCACTCGTTTTGAACCCATTTCCACAGAGGCGTCAGAAGAAAGAGCATGTCGCTTGGGATCACGCCACCTACAAACAAGCAGTGCGCAAGGCCATGTTTGCACGCTTTAAAGAACTGGAGTGACCTCACACTCTCCCTCGCCGCTGTCCGTCACACTTTGTGAACACATGCCGCCCCCCCAAAAAAAAACTTCACAAAGATGCTGATGGATGTTGTTACCAGCGGTGTTCATGAAGGCCATGTTTCCTGAACTTGTAATTATAAAACCCCCCAGAGACTCACGGTTAAAGTTTGTTTTAAAGCTTCAACTTGATTTCCTTTCCTATTTTTATTGTGTGTGGATGTAGTATTATATGCATTTTTTTTCTACATTAAAAACAAAAACACACATACTCAACTTTTGTTTTCATTTTGAGTGTTTTCACGTGCGAATTTAGGAGAAAAATGTTTATAAAGTTAAGCACTTAATCGCTTGAGTTGGTGTACGCTATCACTAATGCTGTACGAAAATCAGAATTTCATAAATATTTGGACAAAATACCAATATAAAAACAACCCAGTGAAAATCGGTAGGTACGGTACGTAATTAACAGACCATGATGCATCCCAAACGTTTTGCAGGGGATAGGGGCTGGGTCAGATCACAAATCCAAAAAATCTTGTGAATAATCGATGTTCCTTATAAGCACCATGAATGTTTTTTTTTTCTTTAAAAATGACGTGTCTATGCGAGGGATCGGATTAAAAAAAATAAGTGTAGGACAGGGAAAAGATGCAGCAAATTGGTGGAGGTCTCCGTGAATAACATCGGATAGCTTCCCCCAAATAATTGGTGAATAGGTTCATCTTTGAATGCCCAGCCACAAATATTCAAGAATCCGCTGTATTTTTTTAGTTGGCCCGATGTGAAACGGCAAAGCAAAGAACATTTAAGACAAATAGAGGAGGCTCTGTACCGTTCCTTAGCTGCTTTGTTGCATCTGTTACGTGCTGTCTTGAATATGTGCCGGGTATGATGACATCTCAAGACAATCATTCCAGCCCCGCTTTGCTACATCCGGCACAGGCTGTCTTCCAACTTAATGATAACAATGTTGCAATTTCAACTCAGGAACACATCAAGGGTTAGTAGACGTCATGACTCAGAACTGAAGTACTGTACACTCATCTCACCACAAGCTGGCAGCATGATCCAATGTTTGTTCTCTGAACTTTTTTTTTCTTTCATGTATTTGGGGCCAATTCTATTTTTATGACCCTACAAGGGCAATACTAAACTAATGGGATCAAGGGGGCTGTTCTGACGATGCAATTGAACAAATGCTTATTCTTTTGCGATAGCGGCATTTAGGGTTACATAGCACACATGTTCAAGAGATTCCCCACTCCTGTTTTGACCGTCCTGGAATTAGAAATTAATTTATGAAGTGTCTTGCACAGCTTGGACACTGCAGGAGAAAATAAGTCTTGACTCTGACCTTTGCCGGCGTGTATCTGTTCTACCTTGTAAAAGGGGGCAGCTGCAGTTGAGGACAAAACAGACTCCTGACGAGGGGTCAAGGGTGTCTTGGCACATCATGCTCCCCACTTTATGTTGAAGTTTTGCCAGCACTTTGGGACACAAAAATGTGTGTGGGTTTTTTTTGTTTTGTTTTTGGCAACTTGAAAATAGTTGCTCCACACAGACTGGGCCTTCCTCACACCCAACATTAACCCCCCCGCCCCCCAAAAAAAGAATTGATAATCAAATCAGGTTTTTTAAAAATAAATCACATTTTTCAGGGTGACTAAAAAGAAAAATAAGTCCAGAATTACTGGAGTTCAAACTAATGTACTCCAGACACCACTTTCTCCAAGCAGAACTAAATTGGGTATGGGTTACAATTTAGGGTTTGAAGCCTAAGTCAGGCTTTTAATTGGAGTTGTGGTTGTGAGTTCAAATTGCAGCCTCATGTTCGTTTTTGAAATTAGTTTCCAGCCTGGATTCGGGCTTCAAATCAGGGTTTGAGGCCAAGGTCAGGTTTTCAAGCCTGAATTAGGATATAGTATTTCAAGCCCAAGTCAGGGTTTTAATGGTGGTTTGGGTTTCATGCCAAGTCCCGCATCCACATTCCAGAACCATGCGTGAGGTTCATTAAAGACTCTAAATTATCCATCGGTCTGAACAGTTGTCTATTGAAGTCCTGTGATGAGCTGGCAACCCGTCCAGGATGCACCCTACTTCTCTTGCCCAAAGTCAGCTCTCTGAATTCTGCACACCTGTGACTCGAATAAGGTTAACCGCTATAGAATTGGATGCATACCCTCGAGCTTTGTCTTCGCACATAAGGACTGTGTTCCATATACAGCTTTGAAAAATTATTTTGTTCCGCGAAATGAAATGAAATCTCACCTTCTCCTGTTCCATCCCCCAACTGATTCAATTTGAAGTCGAGGGCAAGGAATGCAACGTCGACCTTAACCCGCGTGGATGTCAGTGATAAATAGTTCATTTATATGCAAATACAAAAGACACGGCACATGTCTCAATCAGTGTTTGTTTGACTGTCGCCATAGGACACGGCGACCTACAAATAATGGAGGCCTGTGATCCTTTCAGAGCGACAAGTGTCGGAAGTCTCCCATCAAATTGACAACCGTCCATTGTCTTGAACGTGTGCCATTTAGGACGTGAAGGCTAAGACAAAACGTTCTTTCTCTTGTGCGCCATTTTTTTTTCTCTCTTGAACCCCTATTTCTTATTTGAATTCAACAATTCACTCGCGAGTCCTTCCTTGAGAGTTTTTCATCCGTCCTGTCATGAAAGAAGTGCACCCAATTTCATGTCGGTCAGCGAAACCAGAATCAGGAACTGATTTTTTTTTTTTTTTTAAATATCCACTATTCGAACTGCTTATCCTCATCTGGGTAGCTGGCGTGCTGGAGTCTATCTCAGCTGTGCTTAAATATTTAGAAAAGCGAACCGTGAAACATTCACTGCAACTGTATTGTACTTCAAAGTTAAATAGCACTGAATTGTGAAACTGGTGCTGAATTTCCAGGGGTGTGTGCTTGTTTTGTGATTTTAGGAGTATTATGGGTACTTGTAATGGCCACTTGTGACCTGCTGCATGTTATTATAAACCCATCACATATTCAAAAAATAAAATTAAACACGGCCCATTTCATAAGGTTCGGAGGAAAAAGTTCAAGTGGTGAATGATCCAGCACAATTCTTATGACATCATGTCAAGCTTCTCTCATTTTTAATGAAGTTGGTTTACTCTCACAGTCAAGATTTCCACCCTTGTGTCTTATTAATGGCCCGTGTTAAATATTGAATGTGATGTGAGGCGGAAATAAAAATATACTGTCAATACAGGTAAATGCATGCATGGCAGGGAATAGTCCTTGGGAATATTTTGATGAGATTTCCAAATTGTTGGCAGTAAAGTTCTCAATATGTCATTGCCCTGGTTATGATGACCCGTGGGAACGCGTGTGATGGCTTTAACATGACGAATGATACATCCTTCTGCTGTTTATTATGGGAGGCAGTGCAAAGTCCCTCCTGAAATGTCAAAATGTAAATGAAATTTGATAGGCGAGCTGCTGTTTTTACTCAACTTATTCTCAAGGACCATGCTTGATATCGGACAGGAAGACAGCCATTTTGGTTTTGGGTCTGGTTTGGCCATAAAACAGACATTTCAATCAGCGTCCCACCAAAATTCAGCCCCGAAAGTCAGTTTCATTTTGGAACACAGAATTTGGCAGTCATGTCCATCATGAGTAGACCCACAAAAAAGTCTCAAGAGCCATTGTCCAAAAAGAAAAAAAAGGAAGTCTGACATTTTGCTTTGAAGTGTTCATTTTCAGGTCATGTTGGCCCTACCGTATCCAAGTTCAAGACAAACTTGTCCTTCAGACTTTGTCTGTCTTCAAACAAATTTGTATACGCGAGTCAAATGGGCAATACTAAAGTGACAAACATTTGAGGTTTTGAGTCATTGGATATGGGTGTGAAGGGCCGATGAAATTTGATGACTGGTTGTAAAACATGAATCGCTTCACTCCAAATTTCAGCCCCTGAAGTGTCACTTGGAAACCTGAAGTTTGGTCAGTAATACCAAACTGTCTATCATGAGCTGACACTCAAAAGAGTCTCAAGAACCCATGTTACAAAGAAATTTTAAACGGTAAAACTGTTTGGGAATGTGTGACGAACGTCTTTGCTACTCTTTGCAACCTTGAATGAACCCTGACAAAAAAACAACAACAACAAAAAAGAATTGTAGCTACGTGCTCATACACTTTTATACTTTCACCGCTCAGTGACATGCGGGCTCAACATTTGTGTTTTTAGCCCATATCCCACCGAGCGGTGAAAGTTTGGAAGTGTTTGTAAATGTAGTGAATGTTGAATTTCCATCAATGATCGTTCAAGGTCGCAAAGACGTTCGCAAGACATTTGCAAGAAGTTTTAAAATGATCCCTGATGAAAAATCACAATTTGCTACCTTCGCCGTTAAGTGGGATACGGGCTTTTGAGTCATTGTGTGTGGCCGAGGCTTGATGATGTGGGAAGTGTGATGAATTGAATTGAATACAACTTTATTGTCAAGTTGTGACTCGCCATGACACATGAAACGCTTAGCATCACTCTAAAATTCCGTCTCCGATGCCAGTTTCGAACTTGGAATATGGTAGACATGCCTATCGTGAGTAGAGCTCGTATTTATACTGTATATGAATGGACACCGGCAGCCATCTTACTTTGCCACTCGCTAAAGCTCTCTACGTAGCATTTTTGCATTATTTTTTGTCTCTACTGAGGAAATGCCAAAGTCTTTCTACCAAAAAGTCTAGTAGAGCACTATGTTTTATAGTTATTTTTCTAGTGAGTTACATATGAGTGCTACTCAGAGATTTCTCTGTATCATGTTGTCAGAACCATCAATGATGAAATGTTAGCAAAGCCCATCAGGAAAACATTTCTAACCTCTGGAAGTCACGAGTCATGATATTATATATTATATATATATCATATATTCTGAATGGTTGACACAAATAGTGAAGCTTGTTCAGTGAGAGTCTCTCATTGCCATACAGGGATCCTGGTGTAAAGCATGCACAGATGTTTGAGTGAAAACATAACAGAAGTTATCAGTAGCAGTGGCAACGTAAGATGGCTGCCCTCTGGCTTTGGCCGCCGTTTCTGGCAACTGAAAACAAATTTGTCAGAAATGTGATCGTTATTATTTTAAAGTTATGATCAATATCACTG